TTTGCCAAATCATACTGTTCTGCTGGGTGCATGTAGAGTATGTAACAACAAATCCCACTATTTTGTATAATTACAATGAATTAACAAAAAGGAAAAAATGGAAAAGGAATGATGTTTGGTTTGAATTTGGCATTTTTCCTCTGGACTGGTAACAGTATCCTATATATTGTCCTAGACGAAGGCAATACTATTAAGGGAGCATGAAACCTTGATAAATTGTTGAGTCTATTTGTCTCAGCAAAAGTTATTTCTTGAGTAGATAAAGATACTTTTGAACATGTTCACTTTTCTTTCAGGTCATAGGGGTTCTATTTAATAAATTACTTTTCTCAGGCACTAAGAGCCACCTTTATCCATTTAAAAAGGTTAATGCAGCTTTCCAAAGTGTCTAAGTTATTCCCAGAGAACAATTTATGCACTGAAAAAATCTTTTTATTTGGGAAGTGCCTAAATAGGAGGGAAAAAAAAAAGATGAGGTACAAATTGAAGACAGAAGATTTAGTGGCTTATATCTGAAGATTTTTCTCCCAAGATTTATTTATATGAATTGATTATAGATCCCTGACTATCCCAGGTGAAATTTCAATACTCCTTCCCTTCCACCCCAGAGCATCCTATTATTTTTCTTGTTTTATTTTTGTTCATAGCATTTATCACAAATACACTCTATATTTAACTTATGGAGTTTGCTACTTTCTGACTTCTTTTACTGGAATGTAAGTTCTATACATATGAAAACTTTTCTAATTGCTACACTTCTGCCCCTTTGACAGTGCCAGGCACAAGCTAGCATTCAGTAATTAGTTAATAACTGGATGCAAGAATAAATCTACATTGATCAATTCATCAAGTAAATATCAAATTTCCATTTGATCAGTGCTGCATGCATCATTTTCTGGAAGGCAGTTTCACATATGGTTGGGGTGCTTTCTGGCCCTGTCTGGCCATAAATCCTGCTTCTCACATGATTTGGCTGCTTAGACCTGGAAAATTTCTTTAACTTTTCAGGACCTTTGTTTTCTTTCTCCCAGAATAAGGAGAACAAATTACCTGTTTCACGGTTATAAAATAGGTATGAAATCCTTAAAACATTCTGGTCAGTCCTTAAACATCACTGGTGTTATCATAAAATCAGTTTGTGAAAAGAAGCATATTCTTTATGCACTCATCATCTAAATGAGATAGAGTCGTGACACTTATGTAGCTATTAAAAATATTTTGCCACAGTCATCTGAATCATTTAGTTCAAAGCATATTTAAACCCTACACTTTTCATATAATTTACTTTCTGAAAATTAGCATGGCATTCATTTTATTTATTTAACAAACTCCAATGAAGTCAAACAGAGTAGTGTAATAATTCCAAAGGTCAAGCTCAGTTTTGAATTCTGCTCTGCCATTTAGTAGGTCTGTGATCCTCGGCAACTCAATTAAAACCTTTAAACTTCAGCTTTCATATTAGTAGTGTGAGCAAAAATAAAATCTGTGTAGTAGTTGAATATTAAACATAGCACTGTGCCTGATATACAATAAATCTCAATTAAAAGAAGGTTAAAAGGTTATAATAAAATACAGAGAACAGTATTTATAACAGAACTGTGTACAAAATTTAGTGAGTGAGAGTTGGAAGTAAAATCTTATTTTTCAGACTCCAAATTCAATCCTAAATAAATAAATTTAAAAATCATATTTTGGAAGAAGTTATCTTTGGAAAAGGAAATTTGACAGCAAATCACTTAGCATATGACTTCCTTCATGTTGCTAAATATAAAGCACAGTGCCTATCAGTAACAGTTTAAAAGATATGGTTGTCTCTTTAAGTCAACACTTCTGAATTTTTAAAAATTCAACAATTTATATACCATCCTCTTCTTATGCCCTATACTCATCAATTTAAATTTATGAAGATACTAAGTAAGAAAAACAAAACCCTATGTACACATATCTTCAAGGTTATTATCTAAGAATGTTATTAATATTGTATAATATTGGCTGTGTTAGGCAGTATTGTAAACACCATTGTTTGCACCCAAGTAGGGGTATTGGTTGCTACACTTAGATACAGTGGAGTAGATGGGAAATGCTTCAGCTGAGATTCTTTAATAATTGCTGGAGCCACAGTGCTGGGGGGGAGGGGAAATGAGTTTCTTAGGTCACCCCAGAGTAGACCACAGGAATCAATGTATCAATAAGCTTTTTGGCCAGGTTGAGATTGGAATAGGTGTGTCTATAACTGCACCTAAGACTAGGAGTAACCAGGACAATATGCTTTGATGAGTGTAAAGAGTCTCAAGATTGTCCTAAGGTCCTAAGTAATTATTTTCATTTCAGGAAAAAAAAAAGTAACTTTGGTAAGGTGGTGTCTCCAAGTTTGCTGCTGTTTGTCCATACTTGGGTTTTCTATATAGCGAAAAAATGATGGATGTAAGGTTGAGCATGGGAAATTTTCAAGTTAATAGTTTATTACTTTTATCACTTTGTTGTAACTTGTAGGTAGAATACAAGTTAAATGTATTAACTGAAAATGCCACAAATACTGCAAACATTATATAGAATCAAAATATTGATCCTGCCCAAATAAGAGATGGGAATGTCTTTTAAAAATTCCATTTATTCCCAATTTTCCAAAAAATCTCCATACTTTTTTTCCATATTGGCTGCATTAGTTTGCAGTCCCACCAGCAATGTATGAGTGTACCTTTTCCCCCACATCCTTGCCAACACTTTTTGTTCTTAATAGCTGCCATTCTGACTGGAGTGAGATAAAATCTTAGAGTGGTTTTGACTTGCATTTCTCTAATTGCTAGTGATGATGAACATTTTTTCATATGTTTGTTGATTGATTGTACATCATCTTCTGAGAAGTGTCTCTTCAGGTCCTTGGCCCATTTGTTGATTTTTTTTTCAGTGTTTAGCTTTTTTAATTCTTTATATATCCTAGAGATTAGTGCTTTAGCTGATGTATGATGGGTAAAGATTTGCTCCCAAAATGTAGGCTCTCTATTCACCTCAAAGATTATTTCTTTTGCTGAGAAGAAATTTTTTAGTTTGAGTCCATCCCATTTATTGATTCTTGATTTTAATTCTTGCGCCAAAGAAGTCTTATTAAGGAAGTTAGGGCCTAATCCCACATGATGTAGATTAGGGCCTACTTTTAATCCTATTAGTTGCAGATTCTCTGGTTTTATTCCTAGGTCCTTGATCTACTTTGAGTTGAGTTTTGTGCGTGGTGAGAGATAGAGGTTTAATTTCATTTTGTTGCATATGGATTTCCAGTTTTCCCAGCACCATTTGTTGAAGAGGCTATTTTTTTCTCCAATGCATGTTTTTGGCACCTTTGTCTAATATAAGACCCAGCTATATAAGGAGGCTGATTCATAGTGGGATAGGGAGAGGGAATATGAGAGTCTAGAAACTCCAGCATCTTCTGGGATAATTGGGACCCATCATAAGGAGCAGTGGTAGGGTATGGAGTAGATACTAGATATGTGTGGGTGCAGTATTTAGAACCAAGTTGCTGTCTTCCTAGCAATCTTCCAGAAACTCCAAAATGTCAGGGCTGTCTTATTTTATTTTCAGTGTCTTGAGGAGCTAGACAATGATGGTGTAGATGTGGTCAACAGAACGCAGGTGTGGGTCAGCCATTTGTTTGAGCCTCCTATTTATGGACTGTCCCAGGGGCTCAGAACTAACCAGAGTTATGTCTGTTCTTCCCAAAGTCATTATGCTTATGATTGAGAAGTATGTTATAATGCCGAAGGAAGGAAGCTCCTGTTGACATTATTTTTTTTCGGTCTATTTTTGAGAGTAAACTCCTGCCTTCCTTTCCCACATCCTCACCAACGTGACTTTGTTCACCATGAACTTGCTATTCTAAAATGATGACACAGAAGCAAGGTGTATTTCCTTCCTTTTGCTAAAGACTTGATTAATTATCCAGGGCAGATCTTTAATGACAGCTAAAATACCATTTTCACCCTAAAACCCAAGCTTTTAAGATGCACTCAATTGTTTGCATAAACTTTTACAGTTTTATTTTCTTCTTGTTTTTATGCATAGACCAAACTACCAACCTGAAAGACTTTTTTCCAGCACACAAACTATGCTGTGAGAGCAAGTTTTGCCCTTCTGGAAAGTGTTTTAACTAATCAGGCCAATAAAAGGGCATCTAGGAAAAACTTATCAAGTATGAGACTGACTGGTATTTTAAGGATTAAAGATAATTTTCATTTATTTGTCCAACCTACATTAACATCTTTAAAACCAATTTCCATCACTTTTTCCTGAGTTCCATGTTTTCACACATTCACATCAGACCTTATTGCTCATCAAGAGCCATTATTAGAAGATTCTCATCTTCACCCATACTTTTTTCCTGGTCTCCCTTTTGATTCACCCATGTATTTCCTGAGAAAATTATACCCAAACCATTGAATTTTGAGAGGCTGGAGTCTTCTTGAATTCCTTTGCTAAGAGATTTTTTTTTATATTACTTGGTCATGAAAAGATTGAAAATTCTCTTAGAACTGTGGGTTGAGTGTTGGAATCCTCTGACCTTAAGTATGTTGATATTACAAATGACCAGCTGTCTCTAAATTGGTGAGTCTGCCTCACTGTGCTGCCAGATGTTTGGTTTGAGTTCTTCCTATTTGTAATACCTTTTTTCTGTTTCAGACATTATGATTTATACCTTAGTTTTTCTAGTACAAATGTCAGACTTTCTTACCCTTAGCAAACTGAAGCTGAATTATGAAAATAATATTAAAATATCATAACCAAAATCTGTGCTTTTGTTTTTGTTAATTATTTCTGATAATTCATGAAGCCTTCGGTGAGCTTTGACTACATGGCTATTTGAGTAAAACTTTATAATTTTATTTTCTTTTTGATTTCTGTGCATGACACCCTTATCCAAAAGTACATTGAGATCAGCCTCAGTCCTTCCAGCACCTTGGAGTGAAGGATGGTGAAATCCACATCATAAATAACTCTTTTTCTAGGTGCTGCAATGGAACAAATATGGTTGCTGCTGCTTCTAACAATTAGAGTGCTTCCGGTGTCTGCTCAGTTCAATGGTTACAACTGTGATGCCAACCTCCACAGTAGATTTCCTGGTAAGTTGGAACCTAATCTATGCACTAATTGCTTCTGAAAGGAGTGATTATGTTAAAACAGTAAATCATTTAAATACATAGGGAAGATGGGGATCTCTCCTTTTATATTAAGCAGATATTAACAAATGCAAATGACAAGAGACATTTTTCTGGAATTGTAATTTATACCCACATTAACATACAAAGTGTTCATCAAAGTTAATATTATTATAATGGCTGTTCACAAATGTAAAGTATATTGACTCATAGGTAGTGAAATTGGGAGAGGCTAATTTCATTCAAAAATTTGCTGGAGGACTTTTTTATCTGCAACTAGATTTATTTAAGAATAATGGTTAAGAAAATGACTGTGAAATATTATGTGACACCTTCAAAATACTCTGTCAATGAAATGTTGGTCATCATCAAAGTACACAGGTCAGCTGCAGAATGAATTTCACAGAAACCCATTAACTTGTGACAGACATGAGATTCTGACCCTATTGGTGGACATATTCCCCAGCTTCCTAAAATCTGCACTCAGTGAGAAAGTTCTGCACATTGCATTAAAGTATTTGTCATTTTATATTAACTAGACTTATAGAACCATGATTCAACACTCATAAAATAAACATTAAGGAATCAGAAACTACTTTTCCATGTCTGTCATGCAAACTGAATACCTTTGGCCATACTGTACTTTCTCTAAATCTGCCTAAGTCCTGTGCTTGGAGCATGCTAGCACAATAGCACACCTGTGTGGAGCAAAGGGCAGGGAGTTACAAGTGAGATTTCTACCTCAGAATAAATCCTAGCTTGTTTCTAAATGATGTCCTAAGCCCAGACCAAGTCCAAGTTTGTGGCCTGTGAAGTAAATAGAAGTCATGGTGGGGAGCACTTAAAGGTAAGATTATAAAGTGTGCTAAGAGTCATTAATGGTTCTGAATATCATAAACTAATTCTTTTTTTACTTGTTTTATTATGGAAAATTCAAGCATATAAAAATAGAGATTTTTTTAAAGCCCTCATACTTATCATCTACCTTTATCAATGATCAACATTTATAAATTTTATTTTCTCTCTCTTTCCTCATCACTTCCATCCATGGAATATTTTAAAGGAAATTTATTATTCATACTTCAGTGTATATATCTGATGGAGAAGAAATTTATTTCATGTGTACACCCAATATTTTTAATAATTCCTTGGTATTTGCTAATACTCAGCTAAGTTGCCTCTCATTTGGTTGCTTGTTCAATATATTTCTGAGACTAGATTTCACTGATTGCAAACCCATGGTATCATTCAGCACATTCCTTTTTTTCTGTGTAGCCTGTAAATTAGAGCTAGAGGCTTGGGTAAATGCAGGTTTAAGTGTTTTGGCAAGAATGCTTTGTCTATCATACCATGTAATGACAGTGTTCTGCTTTTATTTTGTAGACCTTGGAGAGTCACTGGGTCTTTTTTAAATATACATTTTAAGAGGTTGGATGTGCTCACTTTTTTTTTTTTTTTTTTTTTTTTTTTTTTTTTTAGAAAACAGACATTGGGAAAAGTGAAAAAACAAAGAAGAGACTAGGAACAAACAGACTGTGAAGGCAGGGGTGGTAGGAGCAAGAGAAGGAGGCAAGTTCATGAGGTCCTCAAGCTGGACTCAGCAGGACTTGATAGGGATTGGATTGGGAGAGATAAGAGGAGGGGAAGACCAGAGGATGCATTGAATTTGAACAACTGGGTGTTGATACTGTTAGATGACACCAAAAATATAGGACACTTGCATGCTTTAGAAAGGACGTTTGGGTTTGGAAATCATAGCTTATAGGTTTTTTTTTTTGTTTGTTTTGTTTTTTTTAAGAAAGAAAGTATAGTGGCAACTTCTATCCAATAGTAGGAAATATGTACCTAAGTCTGAGAAAGGAACAACTGAAGATAGCTATGTGGGAGTAGAATTCCTTGTTGCTGTGTGGGCAATTAATAGAGGACAGAAAAATAAAGGGCTTCAAAAAGATGATATAGACAACTTTATGGTAAAGGAAAACAACGATCAATCTGAATCACAAATTGAAATGAGAAAAGTGTATTTGAGACTAGAGATTCCTGAGTGATGGGAAAGCATTTAGAGATTGGAAATACTAATAAGGAAATAATTGATGAAAAGAATAAAGAAAATACAGAAGAGATGAGTGATGCAGGTAGGGGAGTCAACCTTGGCAAAGTTCCAGCTGTTTCTTTGATTTAGGAGAGAAGGAACAATGAAGAAACAGGCAGAAGGAGTGAGAGGTGCTAATCATCGTCCCCTCCTCATGCAGTGGGAGCTGGTGGCCTTCAGAGGAATGAGGCCAGAGGCCCATGAAACTAGGAAGGGTGATCAAGACCTGCTCCTGTGATGTGTGGGGAGAAAGCTAAGATGTAGAAAGTTTGCTCAGCAGAGAGGATTTAGCTATGTTCCAGTTATATGTACATGGATGTGTGAATAAAACATATTGAACAACCAAAGAGTGCCTAGGATAGCAAGTAGAAGTGCTTATCATATGGAGAATCTTTAAAAATGATGGTAAAGTGTTCATTTATAAATTTGCAACAGAATCACATTGGATAGTTAGAATATGTGGATTCTACAACTTTGCCCCAAACACGTATTGGCAGAATCTCTGAATGTATTGATCAGATGAACTAGTCTATATTATGGTTAAGAACAAATGATAGGGTATTCGGTTATCTTCTGGTATCCATTTTTCCAAGTAAAGCACAATTGTATGTTGGGGAAATAGCATTGAAAACAAAATCTTCTCCCAATCCCCAAATCTTCTCTATCAAGGTGGTAGATAAAGAAATACTTTTATCATTGAACAAGCATTAAACTCAGAATGTGATGCATGTCACAGGCAATAAAGAAAAGATTGCAAAGACAGAAAGAAATCTCACCCTTTTATATATCCAAGAAGATGCAGCCCATTATATATATATGTTTTCAAGATTAGCAATAACTGGTCTTCAAGTAAGACGACATGACAGCACCATTTGTCACATATCCTAGATCCACCTGGTAATTGGGGTGACCATCTGTTTTAGCTTATTGGTTTTATCCAGTAGAAAAATTAACTTCTTATGTCTTTATGACAGGAGGTAATTTTGCACTTTGAAGCAAGGCTCACACTAAGTCTGGCTCCCATCTTCTTACTGGGAGATATGGGTGCTATTTTCCTTAATGTTTACAGTTCTAAGTGATGGTTCCCTGGTCCTTGAGAAAGACATTCTGGGTCATAAGGTTTATGAAATTCCTATCTTGGTTTCAAAAAGGATTTATATATATTTCAAAGAGAGAGGAAATTATTTACAAATTCTAAGTTCTCCAAAGTAAATGCTTTAAGAAAAGACAGGGGGAGGAGTTTTTTACTTTCAACAGAGAAAGTCAAACCTCTTATTTTAATTTGAATTTTTCTTTACAAATATTAGCACTTTTGGGGCTAATATTTAGTATTATCTGGCTCTGGCAACAAATAGCCAAACTTTCCTAACATGTATACAAAGATACCCCTCACACCATTGTTATAATTAAAGATTTGTATTTAAAAAAACAAAAATCTTAAAAACAAGTACAATTAGAATTTCCAGAAGAGGATTTAAGTTTTATAGGTATTATTTAATACCCATTTTTTTTGCATGTTGTGTTCAGGAAGAACAAAATGAACAAATAAAGCCTAAAGGTTAATTGCTCATTGCCCTCTTGACTTTTTGGCTTCTTTTCCACTCGGGATCATCTGTGATGTCATTAGGAGCTCCACAAGCTGCTCAGACCCTGAGCAATAAGGCAGAATGAGAATGAGACTGGCAAAGGAAAGGGGCTATCTAAATGCAAAGCAATGTTAATAATGAGGAGAGTAATCATCTCACCCTATCTGACCTTTGCTGTTTCTTGGCATTAGAATTATTTTCTTTAATTTCCGTGGCATTTATTCTTGGGCCAAGATAACCCCTATGCTCTAATTCATTTAAATATAAAGAGATACCCTCTAACTCTAAAGGTAGTTAACTCTTGCCTACCGAGGCCAATAGCCAAGAAAAGACTCATTCTTCACTGAAATTATAGTTGTGCTCTTCCCTGAATAAAACTCAAAACAATTGACTGTTGGAGTACCAAAAAGCTATTTGGCCAGGTAAAACCTACAGATAAATGCGCTTGGACACTGTGATTAATGGATGTCTTTTGGCACTAGCACCTGATTTTGGACAGCAATGATGTAGGAGACTTAGTCTAAACATGCAGATCTCTATAGAGTTATTTAATGATACAGATATGACCAAGGGGCAAATGGGTTTTTGGTGACAGAGATTTAATTGCCTGACACTGTCTTATGATGAACTAAAATGTTATAAGAAGCCCATTTTAACTCTGTGTTATATAACTTGTAATTTGGTTTCTATTTAAAATAACACTAATAAGGAAGGAAGCAATATGCTCCATATATTGAATGGTAGGAATATCACAGAATTCTCTTTTACTCCTCTCAACAAATACACAATGTTTTTTAAACCTCTCTTTACAGTAAGGAATTGAGGATTAAAAATTGCTTCTAATATTGCAAAGCTAGTAATTGACAAAGCTATAAAACTGAAACACTTTCTAACAAATGCCAAAGCCTAAAAATAAACTTTGAATGGCAGTTTTTTAAAAAAATGATGTAGGGATGGAGAAACCTCCATATTTAAGAATCTGAAGTCATGTAGCAGGGCAATTTGTTTTCCTTTTCAAGACCTGTTTGACTAAGAGAATATATGGTAACACCTACTAATATTTCAATGAAAAAAAATTAAAAAGAAATTGCAAGGAAAATAAAATCAAGAATCATTAATTTAATGGATAGAATTCATAGGTGGGTTAGGAAAATGAACTAATTTTGTGTTAGACTTTGCTTAACAATTGCATTGTTCTCTGCCCAAAGATGAAGTAAACATGGAGAATGAAGTAACTGTCTCAGGGATATATCCTGGACCTCTGTGCAGACAAGAGAGGACTGTTC